CCTATACCTCGGGATAGAACTTTGCGATTGGCGCACCCTTTTATTAGGACTAAAGTTATTTATCTTAATACGATTAGAGTAGACTGGAGATTCTATAGACTCTTAAAAGAAGACCCTTGACACATTATCCTTTCCTTTAAAACAAAACCTTTAAAAACTGAGACCGGCATTCAAGTATTCCTTGGAAACCAAGAAATAGATGAAGACCGGTTCTGATACAAAAATGTAACACCCTAACCCGGCCGGGTACTACTTTTACTAAAATGACCTTGATAAATAAAATACTCAAATCTTAAATTGCAGCAGGAAAAATTTTCATAAATAAAATACTGAAAACACACTTGTAGTTCCGAGCAAAGCCCTAACACATGGGCAAATTAAACTCAAACTTTAAATCTCAATCTGATCTCCAGTCTATACTCATAATCATAAAATGTAAATAACTAGGTAGTCTCTGTCGTTGCTGCTACTGAAAATCTTAAATAGGCATCCTCCGTGGCGCTTGCACTGCCCTCCTCTAGCTGGTTTCTCTTGAACTTTTCCTCTCGAACTCGCTGCTCTCTAACTGCTCCTCTAGCTAGCTACTACCGATCTGGGACTCGCTCATTCCCTTACTAAGGCCTGGTGAGTGAGTTGGGGTCAGTCTACGCCCTTCCGTTTTAATAATTCTAATACTTGAGTACTTTACTTAAACACTTAACTTTGACTAGTGGAAGTTGTTTGTACTTCCAATCTTAAAATCTTAACTCTTAAACTTTGAGAGAGTTGATGTTACTCTCCTCTCTTAAAGCACAAATCTTGACTTAAATACTTGACAGACACGGGGATCCCTCACTAGCTAGTTCAGTTGCCAACTCATACGTATGAAAAGCCATCCAGGCTTTCCTTAAACTTAAACTTAGTTAGGGGAGTCGTAACGATTCATCCCCCTAACATCTTAAACTTATCGTGGTGGCTCTTCACCACGATTCTCAAGAGCATAACTGCTGCTCTATCTCAAAATGTCTCAAAAGGCAACGAACTGGCGCTAGTGACTAAAAACACTTAAAACGACTTCACCTTCTTGAAGGTGAGTTACTTCTTAAAAAGAACTTGTTTCTGAAACTTTAACAATAACTCATAACATAACACTTGGGGTTGGATTTAGTGACTGTAGAGTCTTTCTTTTGTAGAGGCGCAAGGAATCGTGGTGGTGGGGTTGGGGTTTCCTAGGGTAAAATCCTAGACACAGAGAGAGAGATGGGAGATGGATCGTGAGAGGGGAAGTAGGGGTAACGGGTGGATGGGTTGGGGAATTTTAATTAGGAGGATTTTCATTTACAATTAATTGTAATTAAAAATCTCAATGAGGGATGGGTAAATTCTTACTTAATTCTCGAACCGATCCATTCCTTTATTATCGCTCAAACTCAAATTTCGGCGTGTTACAGTGGTTGTTGGCAATAATCTAGATTATAAGTTGACGAGATGGACTAGGTACCAAGGTGAGCTATCCGAGACTAAGTGTGAAATACTTATGGATAAAGGGCCATGTAAGTATAATTGGAGGAGTTAAGTTCTCATCCCATCAAGGTGGGTAACATGGCTTCATGGAGTTGGCTAGCAAGATGATGTTAGCAATTCGATGAGACGGGCTACGTAACAATACTAGAATGGTACCAAGTTACATCGAAAGAGCTAAGTATGATGCATTGGTGTCCCTGAGGCTTCAACCCATCTAGTGAGGATGAGGTGGCAAAATTTGGGTGAATTTCAACTTAACATCAACACGACCTGACGTTGATGACACCAACTAGTCACTAAGATGAGACGAGGGGTCCCTAAGGCAGTTGGAGAAGCCGGCAAGATAGAGGTTGTCAAGATGGATAATATGCCCCAAAGGCAGTTTGAACAGTCGACAAGCTAGCACTTACCATGGTGTTTATACATGATGGCTATAAGTTAGGAGGTAAAATTTTTTTAAGGGGGATTCCTTAAACCAACATTTGACACCACATATAATTTTTTTTTTATCTTTTTCTCTATAAAGTAGGCACATGTAGTTTATGGAGCTCTCCTGAACTACATAGGATTAGGAGTAACTTATTCTAGCTTGTTAAAAAGCTATCAAAATCATCAACCACACTCGTTTGAGCTTTGTTTGAAGAGTTGTGAACGGTATTTAGATTTGTTGTTCATAGAAGTCAAAGGTGCAATCCATTGAATTTTAACATAATTTTACTCGCAGAGAAACAAGATTGAATGGACCAATGTCCAGCCTTGCCCATCGATGATTAGGTTGTCGGTCCCATTAAGGGGAACTAGTTCTGAGTATTGATAACTTGGAGGACAAAGGTTTTTGTGTCTCCGACGAGGAGAGGGGCATATGGGGGTAGGTAGAGGGTTTGAAGGGGATGAGCAAGGTCAAGAGGGCTTAGGGTGAAAAACTAACTCCTCTAGCTGCTTCCCTCCCATTTTTTGCTTCCCCAAACCTTCATCTCCTTCGTCTAATCTACCTGTCAAATCAAGTTGAAACGAAATTCCTCTCCTTCTTAAAAAAAATCTATCTCCCCATCCCACCTTTGTAAAGCTTTTCCTTAATGTTCAATCACTTCACTTTATTGGGCCAGCCATTTATCTCATGCACGTCGGCCCATGCATGTAGTTTTTATGGAGTGAATTCATGCAAGTAAAAGAGAACCATGTACACAAGGATCTCCATCGTATACGAATCCTAGTTGATTATGGTAAAAGGGGTATAAATAATCTTGTAATGGCTTCTGCCAAAACACCAGTTCATAATAAAATCCTAATGCTGGAAGGCATATCTCTCATGTGGACTAGTCCTGATCTATCGGGGACACCACGTCAACATCGTCTCATCTATTTCCTTTTTCGATTCATTTAATTTCACATTGTGACATAGTACTTGTGAGTTCCAGAGCAATCTTCGTATAATCCATTATCTCACGCTAGATATCAAGAAGAATCACGAGTGTCGACGAAAAGAAGGGTTTCAGAGATGTCCTGCCGCCAGTGTACAATCTTCATGAGTTCGATGGACCAGTTCAAATCCTCGTAGGTGACATTTTAAAATTTTACATGCATTTGAATTCTTGGATGCATATATATATATATATATGAATGGTATACTCTCGCAGTATCGCATACTATCTATCTATCTATCTATCTATCTATCTATACCTTTCATACCTTTGAACTCGAATCATTAGGTGGAATAAATAATTTTTTTGGCTGGGAAACTCGATGTAAATACATTTGTTTACTATTACAAACTAAAATATTTTATTTTGAGACTTTGATATATGAAAGTTTTTTTAGTGCAAAAATTTGGAATGGAATTAGAGCCTCACAACAATATAACCAAATGACTTCTTCTAATTGTTTTGCCAAGATCATCCTTATTAAAGGTTCTTCATTTTAAATCAATATATCGGTTTAGACTCTTGTAATTATATAGTTTTTAGGTTTAGATATCTCAACTAACACACTAATGCTTATTTATTGCCTCAATCGTCGAATTCAGATTTGTGTATGAAGACTTTCAAATATCAAGACAAATATTTTCAACCTTTATTTGATTAATGCCTAGCTAGCTAGGTCAATGGTTGATGAAACGAGATGTTTAACGTACATCCTTAACAAAAAAAAAAAAAAAAAATTTCTTACTTTCACACGTGTCATTTTTCAAGGTATCTCGTGTCTCATCCTAAGATAGGAAATCAAAGTTTGTCAACAATCATATTGAAGTCATATTGAACACTTCGATAATTAATCCTTGACAACTAAGAACTCTAAGTCTAAAAATAAAATTTCTTAGCAAATGACGTAAGACTTCAATTGAATTTGCTAAATAAACATGATCTCCAACAAATATTAGTAATGTGAACTTAGAATACATTATCAATTATTGCACATGTCATTCCTATATTTTTCACTTAATCAGAATGAATAAGAATTTTTTTAAGAAATAACTATTATTGCTTGGTTAAGTTTCTATTAAAATATTTTTTGTTTTCTCTATTTGCTTCATTATATTTTATCTCGATAAAATTTTATTATTTATGTGTGTTTGTTTAAATTGTTCACAAAAATGTAACATATTTTTTTTATTTTTTTAAAATGATTAATTTTAATTGTGCCATGTGTCACTCTACAGACAATAGTATACTGATGCGTACTTAGATGTAATGATAAAGCAAAAATGAAAACAAAAACAAAAAGAAATTATTACATAAAATTAAAATAAATATTAAAAAAGAGAGATCAAGAAAATATTATATATTTCAAATTTCATACATGATCTATTATTGCATATATCGATATTATGCAAACAGAAAAACAATAGAAATTTTGGATTAAAAAAATAAAATATTAAATAAAGCAAGAGATAACTCTATTAATATATCAATAATTAATTAATTTTTGTAAAATCATTATCCACTATTTTAACTTGTCAACTTTCCAAATACTTACGTGACATATCTTGAATGACCTTCTCTGTTTTCACTGTTGCGCGGACTGATACATGCCCCTAATCCCGTTCCCGTCTGCCATTTGGCCGTCCATTTCCATCATAATGGAAATGAATAATAATAACACAGTATCAAACTAGCTAGTTAGCACATCACCATTTCAATTAAGTCAGCGGCTAGATGGTCAAAAGGAGCAGATTTTTTGCGTTAAAAACTCAAATAAGTATTTATCACGATTCACCGTTGATCAGGACACAAGTCACTGTCTCCTACTGACTCCAAAAAACTTGCATGTGTTAAGTTGCCAATTAACTAAAAAGATAAACAATAATACCAAATAAATAACATAATAATAATAATAATAATAATAATAATAATATTATTATTATTATTATCTCTCGATCACTTCATGACAAACTCCTAGCCAGCTAACAAACTAACTCGGATCAAGTGCCTTAACTTAATACTACGTGCTCCTCCCCACTCCCTCACTCCTGTATAAAATCCCAACACCCCGCCCGGCCTACTAGTACTACTACCACTGACAAAAAACAGATCGGGTTGGGTTGGGAAGCTTCTCACTTTCTTTCTCTCTCTCTCTCTCCATTGAGCGCCCGATCCAAGATCGGTAACAGGATTGAGGACAGATCGATGTTTCGCGGTGGGCGGAAGAGCAGCAAGAGCAAGATCAACGACAAGACCACTACTACTAGTAGCATTAGCGGAGATGGCGGCGGCAAGGAGAAGTTGATTCCAAATCTGGAGATATACGACGAAGAGGAGGAGGAGGAGGAGAAGCAGTTTTTCTACAGCAGCAGGCTGCTCTCCAGGGAGACCAACAACCACCCTTCTTTCCGGGTCTACTACGGCGACGCCTCGGTTGCAGTGCCCTTCACTTGGGAGTCTCAGCCGGGGACGCCCAAGTCCAAATACCACATCGACTCCGCCCGCCACATCATCAGCCACAGCGCCCCTCTCCCTCCTCTCACCCCGCCGCCCTCCTACTTCTCCACCAATAATTACAACTCCTCCTCTTCTGCGATCGCCACTGGTCGGGACAGGCGCCAGCTCAGCAAGAAGCAGTACAGCTCCTTCAGGTGGCCCACCAAGCTGTTCATGAGCTTCCGCAAGCGGCCCACTAACAACAACAACTACTCGGTGGGCTCCTCCTCCTCCTCTTCCGACAACTCCACTAGTCTCTCCCCCACGCGCAGTCATAATAACAACCTGCTGTACAGCCGGCGGAGGGTGTCCAGCCTTGAGTCGTTGCTGGACCTCAAGTCCGATCCGGATGGTGGTGGTGGTGGTGGGGGCCCATCGGCGGCCATTGTGGATGGGGCTGGATCCGGATCCGGGTCGTCGCCCACTTCCACGCTTTGCTTTGGAGGGAGCACCAGGCTTCGTGGCCGGTACGGCTGGTTGTAATTAACTCCCGGCTGCCTGCTTCTGCTGCTGCAAATCTGCAATGCATGTATGGGGAAAAGAAAAGAAAAAAAAAAAAAGGTAAAAGGATTTTAATAAGAAAGTGAAAAATTGGGCCGTGTGGTTTGACCCTTGGATCCAGCCTCGAGGTACTACTCGCTGCTAGCTACTTTAACTTTCTTTAATCGTTTCGGGTTGGGTTTCGGGTTAGGTTTCGGGTTGGGTTTCATATAAATATAATATACTGAATGGGCATGGTTGGATCGGATCGAGTTGGGGCTGGACCAGCACTCCTAGTAGTACTCGTTTGTATGTTATGTTTTTGGTATGAGCAAATATTTAGTATCCATCTAAATTACTTACGGTTTTGAATGAATGTTTTTTGTTTTGTACGTCAAATAAATTAATCAATGAAGTGCATCTATTTGTGTAATTATGAAGCCATAAATTACATGTACTACCAACCTATATATGGCTGTACCTACTCCTTTATATCATGGTTGGAATTAAAATGTACGCAAACTCATGAGTCCTACACCGACAGTACTTGAGCTTTACCTATACATAATGCCAGGGCCCGGGCACCATTGGCATGTGGCTACAACATGAATATGTGTTTATGGTTCGAAGGCACAATATGGCTGGAGTCAATTCGGGTATTGCACTCCCAACACAATATGCGAAAATACGCTCATAAAAGTTGAGAGTGGTCCGACTAGGTATGAGACGCTTTTGTGATTGTTGGATGAAGGCAAAGATATTTTATTTAAATTGTCATTGTGTCCATTCAATGATTACGAAGCGTACGATATCTGATCCGACGATCGACTACACCGGTATGTTCTCCCCACGGTCGGATTGGGCAGGAGTAGCCTTCTCTGGTTATTATGATGAATTGGGTTTTTGATTTGTATTAGAGTATACGAGGAAAGGATTAATATGGTGTTTAATCCCAGTAATCATACTATTTCGAAGTCTCTCTAATAATCTTTTCTTTTTGAAAAAAAAATGGGCCAGAGAGTGATGGCCAGCCATTGGACAGTTGAATTATATGTTGCGGTTGCTGTAGTTATCAAGTTCCATTTTCTGAAGAAGTGAAGCAAAGTTTGTGTCTCTGTTAGTCGGTCACTTTCACGGGACAGGATCCTTATTTATTAGTAATGCATTTAGGAAAGATGTCAACAGTTTCCTACCCCTCTCTCTCTCTATATATATATTTTATAGAACACGGTTACAGCAGGGGACGTCAAAAATCTGAAATCCTGTCACATCCCTGAAGCCAAAGAGGTAAACGAGAAACATACTCCCCTACTTCCTTCCCCGCTTTGTTTTGGTAAATTGCTGCCGGCCATGGGCACGTGGGACCCTCGTGATCGGTCTGCATCTTAATTTGCGATCCATTTCCAGTCCACTTGGATTAGATTAACTTGTGAATAATTATTAGAGGCCATCCAAGACAAAATCACCCTTTCTATATAAACGGGAATCCAACTTCAATATGTTATTTTGGGTTCTAAGCAAGTACATAGGTTATAACAGAGTGATATAATATTCATAATAACTTTCTATCAATAATTTGAATTATTGGAATTAACTGGTTTATTACATGCAGTGGCAGACCTAGAAATTTTCCATAGGAGTGTCCTCTTTTAAAAAATAAATTAAATAAAAATAATTAATAAAAATAAAATTATAAATATGAAATACCTTACTCGTACAGGTTAAAAAAGTCCATAATGTGTTTTCATATTCGAAAATAATTGTAGAATACACTTTGTCTTTATAGTGTTAAAAAAATTATCCATATACACTACTAGACAATCATTCAGGAACTTATCGCATATTCGATTTGTAAACTTGTTCTTGATGTAACCCAAAGCTGAAAGACTCTTCAACACTTGTCGTACAATCATAAAATCAATACAAATTAAGGGTTGATTGAAATTAGTTTAGATTGAAATAATTAGAGATAGGGAATGACTTTTTACTATTACACATTGTTCAAAATCGAACAACAAATGAGTTGTAGCTCAACGGAAATTAAGTTTATTACTAATAATAATAGTGTTCTAGATTTGAATTACCCAACCTACCATTTATATTTTTATACAAAAATGACAATAGGATAATCATTTTTTCAAATTTCAGGGGTGTCCCTCACTATCAATTTTTTTTTCTATACGTAAATTACCACCGGGGGTTGGATAATTATTTTTCCGAAATTTAGGGGTGTCCGGGGACACCCCTAAAACCCCCTGGGTCCGCCTTTGATTACATGATATTTAAGTTGGTTTGACCAAGTGGTAATGGGTTCAAATTTCGATGATTTTCAATATTAATTAACAATTGATTAAAGCACAAGATATGATGAGACATGTGCAACTTTAAACTCGTGAGTTGTCTTTCGTTTAACAGGGCGTGTAACATACTGGTTTCGGATAGTTGCAATCCAATGGAAAAATTAGAGAAGATGGGCTAATTATCTTCTTTTTCCTGTCTAGTTTAAATTTAACATAAACATCCACCACCACCAGCAGTTGCAAGAATGAATGGGTAGCTAGTTAATGGGGAAAACTTGAGCAGACAGCAGTCGAGTGGGAGTCCCAATCCTCTTCTAATTTGGATATTAATGCTGAGAAGCAGACAAGCATCGGCAGTACAAACAAAAAATCTCTCCACTCTTTACAAGTTTGGTTTTGCGTATAGATGTAAGCCCCATTTTGCCGACGAAAGCGATATACAAACAACCAAAAATCTTGGTATATATTATTGACTCTCTTCCCTCCAATCTCCATAGCTAGCTAGCTAGCTAGCTGCGAGCTTCTTCTTGTCTGTCGGCAATATCATTCTTTAGCAAGCTCTCAATTTATGGATCCCACCTTAGCACCATAAATGGTCCAGAAGGAACAACCAAATATATAGTGGGAATAAATGATAATGAATTTCTTATAAATATAGTGAATCTTGAACTTGCATGCTCCAACCCCACAAGACAAAGAAAAGAATCACAATAATTACAAGGGGATAAGCCAAAAGGCAGAAAAGAATAACCTTAATTAGAAGGGATAAGGCTACAACATTTGGTTTTAGCGTTGAGGTCCACACACGAACAAAAATTAGTTGTGGATGTGGGATTTCACTTGTGATTCGCTCATTTAATCTGGTCGAGAGGAGAAGAACCTGTAAAAAGATCTAGTTGGTGGATTTTATTAAGGTATTGAGCGCTCTCTCTCTTCAAGGTGTTGAGCATTGTTGGAGCTCTTCAAGGGACATTGAACGCTCTCCTACTGGTGGGAGGCAGGGGGGTTCAAGGCATCGTGCGCTCTCTTCGTAGAGGTTTATTTACAATCAGTTTGGAGTTCTTAAGGGGTTGTGTGCTCTCCTCGTAGATGTTTATTTACCCACACTTTGGAGTTTCCAAGGCGTTGTGTGCTCTCCTCATCAAGGTTTATTTACCCTCAGTTTGGAGTTATTTAAGGTTTTGTGCGCTCTCCTCATCGAGGTTTATTTACCTTCAGTTTGGAGATTCTTCAATGCTCTTATCGAAGTTTTATTTGTGTGATTCTCTTGAGTCTTATATGAACATTGACTAGTTGAGGCTTGGGTCGTGATCATATGTCGTTTATGTGGGCCCATGTAACGTCGACCAGTCAAGGAGTCGACCGTGATCATATGTCGCTTGTGTGGGCTAATGTAACATCAACTAGTAGAGCTGCAGGTCATGGTCACATGTCGTTTTGATGGGGTTGTCATCCTTTCTCATATTGCATGGTGCGTCATGCTCCCATTAACGCTCTTAGTAGTTGACACGCTAAAACACAACACCAAACTGCGACCAAGTGTAATCGCAATCCGGAAATGCAGTAACTGACAGGCGACTAAGCTTCACCGTGATAGACTGCTGAGGCAATAAGCACAGAACTCCACTACTGGAATTGGGTTCCAGTACAAAGCAGTAGATTGATTAACTCTCGTATAACCAATCTACCACTACCGATTGATGAAGCTCTAACAACCTAATCAGATTCTATCTATCTCAGGTTGCAACAGAAATCAAGAAAAGATGATCAGACTTCAATTGACTCAATGAATCATGCATCAATCGATTAAAATCAAACAGTATAACAATCCCAAGTCATTACAATCAAGATCCCTAACACATGGAACTAGGGTTCTTCATACCCAAGTGAGAGAAGGTTCTACTCCATAGAGAGAGAGAGGAAAACAGTAATCAGAGTAGTCATACTCATAAAGACGAGGAAAATATGCTCTGGGATGATGATCTTCACTCCTATGATGATCTCCAAGCTCGATTGATGAAACCTTGCTCCAAAATCACCTCTAGGATGTGTTCTTCGCACTTTCTCTCTATAGGGCTCTGTTTTTGCTCCAAAAAGTCGATTCCTCACTTTTGGCTCGAAATTGGGTTAAAACCCAGAATTCCCCGACCACACGGCTAGGCCATACGGACGTGTGGTCTCCCAGTCTGCCCATGTGGATATGAAAACGAGACGTTTAGATTAGTGGGTTTTCAGGCATGCTGCACGGCCAGGGACACACGGCCGTGTGGATTTCCAGGCTAGCCGTGTGAGCTCCTTGGACTTTCCACACGGCCACAAGGGGTCCCTTACACGACCGCGAACTCGTTCCCAAACCTTCATTCACGTACTAGGACCTGAAATATCATAAACAAGAACAACCTAGCGTGAAATCGGCCTAAAACACGAGAAATAAGACTCAAACGGTACAAGAATGGTGGACAAAAACATGTGGATATATCAAGTCATCAGTAGTCCAATATTTAAAATCAACAAAAATGTGTGAGAAGGGTGGAGTACTTAGCTTTAAGTTGGAGAGGTGGCATAATAAGGGGAGCATGTTCTCACAATAAACAACCAAGATACGAGGGGTAAAACATGTATAATTATGCACTTATCAAACCCCCCTCATTGTTTGTTTGTTCTCAAGTAAACCGTACTCAAAACTATGCAACTCACTAGACCTCCATAAAGATATGTGACTTTCAACCGTCGGTAGTGAATCATAAGAAACTTTAAAGGTAAACCCCCACACTCAGAGACTCGGCTACATTAGTGACCTACAAATCTCGTAAGGATAAACATATTTGCTTTCATAACTTACATACAATCAACTAAGCACAAAAGACTCAAAACACATGGGGTGAAACCTTTGCAAACTTTACTTTGAATTTAAGCACATTGCTACCTTTTTCCGACAACAAAATTTCGTTTCCTTACATTTGATATCACGTGCCACTATACACTTTGAAACAAAAGGGTCATTTTTTACTATCATGACCGAGCAAGAGCAACTTCTACAATTTAGCACTCACATATAAGGGCTTTGTTTAACTCCTTCTCCTCGATACGTGTGAAGCATAAGTGAAAGAGGTGTCA